CAGAGCATAATAATAAAACAATTATAAATTTGAATTTTAAACTATATAAGTTAAAATTCAAAATTTACATGTAAAAGATTGTTCCTGATTTCCTGTTTGAAGGAGCGTGCTTGATACTACAGATTTTTCTATGGAGGAGTGTGCTTGAAAATGAACATCATCTACATTTTTTGAGGGAAAGAAGAGAGAGGAGGTATTGTAGCAACTAGACATTAAAATGTATTAATTTGAAGTAATGAGCCTGTATATGCATTTTTGTACTTGTAACTAAAACTCAGCTTTTGCTTGAACTTATATCTAGAAGATAAACAAAGTTACATGTACTTGTAATGATTGAATCAATTTTTAAGGGAAAGAATTTTTTTGAGAGGAAGAGATTATTATTGGAGAGAAAGGGAATAAATAAAATGTAGTTAAACCCTAAAATAACTAAAGCAACATAATACATACCGTGAGAAAGAGATTCTTTTTTAGAGAGAAAGAGAGGGGTATTGTAACAAACTATATAGTCATAACATGTATTAATTTGAAGTAATGAGCTCTTACATGTACATTTATATGCATTGTACATGTAACTAAAACTCAGCTTTTAATTTGAAACTAGAAGACAACCAAAAATTTATTACTTGCAATTATTAAACCTATTAACAATAACTATCACCAGTCAATGGAATCCTTTCAATCTACTGTATCAGTTCTTTGTTCCTGATTGAAGACTGGAGGAGAGACAGAGAGTTAAACTGAGAGATTTGTGTGATTGTTTTTGAGAGAAAGAGAGGGGAAGGAGAAGCTAATTAGATCTAGAAGACTTGAACTTCTCTTGGTGTTTTATTGAGGCATCGTTCATCATCTCGGAATAGTTTACTCCTTCACTTCATGTCCTTGTCATGAGAGCACATCAAGAACCTTTGGACCACTTCTACAAGAGCAACACTAGCTGTAACATCCAGTAACTATACAACCTGTCTACTTATAGGAATCACCAGCTCTACACTACAACACTCTTCAATCAACCGGCCAATTCTTTATCAAATTACTGATTCAGTAGCTCTACGACCAGTCTACTTCACACACTATACTACATTCTTCAATTGTTTCCTTCAGTAATTCTTCATTCTCCAGTTGATCTGCTCTAGCAATCAGTTCTTTATCCTCTGCTCATGCTAACAAGAATTAAAAGGAGCTACTGAATCATAAACTGAACTTTCTTCTCTCTTCTCCTCCTCTTTTTCTATCTTTTCTTTATTCCTCTTTTCTTAATTCCTCTCTTATTTCTAACACTCCAATTCTACCTTTCCTCTTAAATAGCCAGTACTTGTACTCATAATTAATAATAGTACATGTAATTAAATACTATAATTAATTAATAAGTACATGTAATTAACTAATAATAGTACATGTACACTTAATTAATTAAATAGTATAGTACATGTACTTCAATATAATTATATTGTTGCTTCCTTCCTCTAGCTATAGCTCCTCGGGCCTATTGAAGACATTAGCCTTTGAGAGAGAGGGAGGGAGAGAGAGAGAGGGAGGAGGGGGCAGAGACAGCTAGTAGTATAGATTCAAAGAGCAAAGCCTGAATACAAGAGCATCTTAAGAGGGAGAGAGAGAGAGAGAGCTAGTAGGGGTATGTTAATGGTATATGTTAATGGTATGGTATGGTATGGTATTATATTGTATGGTATGGTATGGTAATAGAAGTTATAGGAACAATGTAACTAATATGTAGCCAAATGTATGTGAATTCTTATTTAATCATATATTTTGTTTGATTTTATAATGGCCTAGACATGACGTTAAACTGTTTCTAAGTATAGGGTCCTAAACATGACGTTAAACTGTTTCTAAGTTTAGCTATTATTGGTGTGTTTGTATTATACTAATTGGTTGTCCCTTACTGATTCTGTATGTATGTACATGCGCCCATGACTAGGGGACAGAGTCCCTTATTGTTTCACATTTTTAAATATGTTAGTGTCTGCATGTACACGTGTGTTCATGATAATAAATTAACTGTGTCCTGGTTTAGCATGAATATTCTTCCTTTCATGTTCATATTGTTATTATTGATATGCTAATGTACATGTACATGTATGTATTATATGTATTGTATTGATACACATGTCCTCACGTAGCGTCAGATCATAACGTCTCCTGGTCTCCAGTCTTGCTTTCTCTGGACAATGTTTGTCATCATTGGATCACTCCACCTGCTTGAAGGAAGACTCTAACCCATTTTGTTATTTACAATCACGTAATCATTTTATGGATCGAGCCTGTAGCGTTTGTCATTACCACGAAATAATTCCATACCTTGTGGGAGCTAGTGTATCAATCAAGAACATTCCGTATGATTTACTTACAGTTCTTTGGAAAAGACGTCGCAGCTAACAAGGAGACAATCACTGTGGACACAGGACTTCACACTGTTATCATCGAGGATCAAGCATCCAGCACTAATCTACAGTTTACAATTGGATCATCATCCATTACTAGCATTCTGAGAGGAGGAAGGAGAGGAGCTGATAGACATACCAAAGGAGGAGAGGAGAACATATCCTAGCTGTTGTGGATTCAATGAAGACATGAGCTTATTTTTTCACTGTATGGGTTGAGCTACCCTTTTTTACAGTGACCTGCTTTTAGTCCCGATCATGTGAGAGGGAAGGGGAGGGTTAGCGAAGGGGGGAGGGTTCTGCCCAGGAGTGTGGGCGAGAAGTCCCCCTTTTGGGTCCGATAGTGGCTCCCCGTATCTCATGCTAGAGCCCTCTCTTCTTTCTCTCTTTTTCCTTTTTGTGCAGTGATATGGACTCTAAGCAGAGGAAAGGATCAGACTTTTTCTTTTTATGT